ATGCCCAAAACAAGACTGCCCAGTTTATCCAATCTTTCATTTTGTTCCGAGGCCAATTTTTGAATGGCATTTTGAATAGACTCTTAGACACTTGCATTGCCAAGAGTGTTATCTGTAGATCTTTTTGATATTTTTCCTGTTGCATCCCATCAAATCCTAAGTTTTTGATTGGTGTGTTGGACTTTGAGTCACGGATGTGGGTGCCAATGATGTATGAATTTTTTTCATGATGAAAATAAAGAATTTATTAGAACAATTTATTAGAACAGCCTGTTATAAAGCAAAATGGCCACAAGGTGGGAGCAATGAGTCACAAAAAATTAAATAGTCAAGGTACCTGTTGTAAGGTAAAATAGCCACAGGATGGCAGCAGTTATTTGTTGTTATAACAAAAGAAATAGTTTCACTTTCATGCATAAACTTTGGAAGTGATCAGATCGCCATGTTGTCTCTGAAAGAGGTATACAAAAACAAAACAAAATAAATCTTTTTCTACCAATTGATATACAGTAAGTTCAAATTTGATTTTTCGCCCTTGGGGAGATTAAACAGAAAAAGTCTCTTTTTTCCAAATCTCAAATTTCCCCAGTTTCACTTAATCTCCCCTAGATCTGTCGCCACTTAGACTCCATGGTGGAGAGGGGGGGGGGAGCTTCTCATAGACTTTGACCTGACACATGGACACTTCCTAAGGTGCATAGTCAGTATCAAAGTATGAGATACAATGTCCTCTCCCCGCAGCCCCGTTACACCACCGAAAGCTTTGACCAATCATATAACAGATCTATCTATTTATTATAGAACACAGATCTGGAATCAGGGTTGAGACTACACCCTCTTCACGAATCCGGCTGCCATGCTAGATTTCTCCTTGAGCTACCAGACTGTACCAAATAGAGATGGGGCACTCGCCCCTCCCTAGACCTACCTAGAATTTACCGATCCTGAGAATGTCCATTTATATGAATCCAAGCTGCGGATCAGACCATGACAGCTATGGTTCAACCACATTACAGCTATGGTTCAACCCCCATGCTATCGTCAACACACACAATCCTGGTTGATGGTTGAAACCAACCTGACCTAAGGGATACCATGCCAACTATCATACTCAACTGCCACACTAGTTACCGACGCATCCCCAACCGGAGGTGCAACCCATTGTATATTGCTCCCAACTTAAGATATCTCACATACTCATGAAATAGTGGAACATATTGACTGTCTAGAGTTGGTAACGGTGTCCACAGCTCTCCATGCCTTCCAAAGTAACCTGGAGCTACAGACCATTCAGATAGCGATGGACAATCTGCCGAGCAATGTTCTATGTGAACAAATAAAGGGAGGCAACATCGATCCCGTTAGCACGTCTCCTTCTTCCATCAATGCCATTAAGTTTCAGCTTTTCAACCATACCCCAATTAGCCAAACAACCACAGGATTGGTACACGAGCAGCCATCTCGCTGGTACCAAGAAGGAAGAAGCTGTCTCCCCCAACAGAACCATGACTACTTACAATAGTACTGACTAAATTGGACATAAGCGAAGAGTGGACCGATCAACACTTCTGTCACCCTGATTCCCTCATCACCTTTTCTGAATGATACACTCTGAAATTGACAGCGTACCTTACACGCTGACTTTGGGACTGACAACTTCCTCAGTACCAACAGCTTCCCCAGTACCAACAATAACGCTGGCACTGACAACAACCTCAAAACTGACAACAGGTTTAACTTCCTCAGTACCGACGACCTTTCTAGTACCGACAACCACCTCGCATTGACAAACAACCTCGATACTGACAAGAGCTTCACTATCAACAACTACCTTGGCACCAACACATTTACATTTACATATACAATTCATCCTGCAGCCCACGTTCAGGCCAACCACAAGTCATCCTACAGTTCAAAATGGGAACATCTTACATACATTACAGCCATTAACAACCTTACCTCATTACATTAAGGAAGCTTAAATCTTCTACCATCATGCTGTATGCTCCAAGCTAAGCTGGAACAGGTTTGTGTGTTGAGCCAAATTAAGTCACAAGCTACACTCCTGCTGCACCACTTCCGTCAGTCCCATTAAGTTTCAGCTTCTCCAAACAGTCTTCCACCACACCACCCCCCGCCACTCGGAACCCAAAGACTTTGGTTCCCCAGAGGCTGCCCAGCAACTCTTGGGAATAATGCTGCCGGATCGTTCGCCAGCACCATTTAGGATTGGAACTGCGGCACTACATGATCATCTCCGAACCTCCTCCTGTTTCGTCCTTCATTACTGAAAAAATTCCTGGCAAATGCTTTGCTCGGGTTCACCTAGCGCTGGTTCAAGAACCCCACCTGTACCTCCACAATACAAACATCCCTGACTGTCCCTCTTAATCATGGCTCCAGTTCCAAAAACCAACAAAATAGAACCAAAGTCCTATTCCATTATTCCTAGCTGAAGTATTCCGGCAACTGGCCTGCTGCGAACACTCTAATTTTTCAGAGTAAATGCACCTGAGAGAACCAGCTCGGTCCCAAACAAAGTCATTTAGAAAAACCAAGCCTCTGTCCATTGAGTACTCTGAACACAACAAAGCAACACCTATCGATGGGGATCGTTTCAGTCATCTAATTCTCCTACCAACTGGCAAACTTTTCTTACTCATCCCTCGAAGAGACACTCCATCAGAACTGTAACTACCTCCTATGCTACTCACTTAAGCAAAACTAATGCACGATAGGCTTTATGAACTTCCATAAAGCAGTTCCGACCAACGTAAAGCTGGTTTCACCTGGACTGCTTCCTGGCTGTGCCGTCCACTCTACTGTTCCTAAATGGGGGTAGGGGGAGCAGAGTTCCCGCCAAAAACCATTAGAGTTGAGAGAATCTTTCCGAGAATAGGCACAGTGCAGGAATGGCACCCATATATGTGAATGTACAAATGACTGTTCAAAGAAGACAGTTACCGGTAAGCAACCAGGCTTTCTATCCTGCTGTTTTGCCTGAGAATGTGTTTCCAGGATAGCACAGAAAGGAGAATGAATACACAACAAAACAAATTGTGTTTTTGAAAGGTTCTGAGCACCAGTGTGATATAGTGGTTAGCCTGGGACTTGGGAGATCCAGGTTCCAGCAGCCACTCAGCCATGGAACTCACTGGGTGGACTTTGGACAGTCACTCCTGCTCAGCTAACTTCCTTCAGAGGGTTGTTACTGTGAGGATAGAACGGAGAGGACAAGGACCCGGCAAGTGGCCTGGGTCTCCTTTCAAGGAGAAGAAGGGTGAGCTACAAATGCAGATCCATAATATTATCAGAGTTGTACAAAAGTTCTCAGGAGATGCTGTTGGAAAATGCCCACTTCTCATTCCTTTAGGTGCTGCTGCTAAAGGAGCGGCTATTCCAGCGTTTAAAAGCACCCCAATCTCCTTCGTGCCTCTGCAGGCTCTTTAATGGGCCATTCTAAGCACTGCTTTGGGAATGAGATGGAAGAACTTGCATGCTACACACACAGAGTCAAGGGAACTAGAAGGGAGAAGAAAGTTTGGCCGATCCATCAGGGCTTTTCTTATCTTCATCAATTCCTCAAGGCACTTCATTTTTAGCACAGGACTAGTGGTTCTTGGTAGCAATGTATAAATCATTCATGTTTTGGATCATTCCAATGTATCATTAGCCCCTACCTGACTGTTGCATTCTAGTCTATTTTCACGTATTTGATGGTTCACTGTTTTTAAGGTAACCTAACTGCCTTCCTGCAGTGGGCAGGAGACAACAGGATGGCGTTCAGTGTGGATAAGTGCAAGGTCTTGCACTTGGGCATAGGAATAGGTGTCATACGTACAGGTTAGGGGACAAGTGGCTGGAGAGCAGCACCTGTGAAAGGGACCTCGGGGTGCTGGTTGGCTGCAGGCTGAACATGAGTCAGCAGTGGGATGCAGTGGTCAAGAGGGCGAACACCACCCTTGGTTGCATAGCCGGAAATGTGGTTTCTAGATCGAGAGAGGTATTACTACCACTCTATACGACTCTGGTGCGCCCACAGCTGGAGTATTGTGCTCGGTTTTGGGCCCCTCATTACAGAAAGGATATAGCCAGGTTAGAATCAGTGCAGCGTAGGGCCACAAGGTTGGTGGCCGGTTTGCAGGGGATGGGGTATGAGGCGAGAATGAGGGAACTGGGTCTCTTCAAGCTACCGAAGAGGAGACTCAGAGGGAATATGTTGGCGACATACAGGTATGTGAGGGGATGTCACATGGAGACAGGTAGAGACCTGTTCTCCCCTGCAGAGGAAGGCAGGACCTGCTTCAACGGAGCCAAGCTCAGGGAGCCAAGGTTCCATTTGGATGCCAGGAAGCACTTCCTGACAGTCAGGACCCTGAGGGTGTGGAATGTGCCTCCATGGGGGGTCGTTGAGGCCCCATCGGTGAGGGTGTTCAAAGATAGGCTGGAATTGCACATGGTGGGCAGGTCGTGAGTGAAGCCAGCTGGAGCCAGCTGGAGCCGGGGGTCAGACCAGATGGCCTGGGAGGCCCCTTCTGACTCGCCTTGTTTCTACGTTTCCTGTAGGTCACAGAATANGGGAGGTCGTTGAGGCCCCATTGGTGAGGGTGTTCAAAGATAGGCTGCACATGCACATGGTGGGCAGGTCGTGAGTGGAGCCAGCTGGCACCAGGGGTGAGACTAGATGGCCTGGGGGGTCCCTTCTGACTCGCCTTGTTTCTACGTTTCCTGTAGGTCACAGAGTATGTGTAGGTGAGACCCTTGCCAAAATGGAGCTCTTCCTGTTCTTCACAAGCCTCCTGCAGAGGTTCACCTTCCAGCCACCCCCCGGGACAGCTCAAGAAGACCTGGACCTTACCCCTGCAGTTGGCTTTACCACACCCCCCATGGCGTACAAAGTGTGTGCTCTGCCACGCCTGTAAGACTCAAACTGCTGCTTGGCTTAGTCTCTGTACATTTATCTGTGAGCATTTCTTTATAATTTGGACAGCGCCAAGAAGGAAAAGTAGTCTGGAACTTCTTGGCCCTGTGGATATGAGCCTCTGAGAAAGTAGCCTGTGCCTATATTCCACAATCGTAGCTTTTATCCACATTGTGCCCCTGCTGCTTGAGTTCAGCGCTTAAAGAGCGTCAACAGAATGTTAAGACCGATTTGATATAGAATTTCTACACACCCAGCAGTATTGGACTTGTTGGTTGCATTCAGCATTGCGATATATAAAAACAGCTGATTCTAGCTTCTACAACACAAAACACAGCATGGCATATTGTCCCAGTTATAAAAATTACAAACACCAACAATTAAATCCTAGGTCTTTCAACTCCGAAGGGGGCAAGCATTCCCCACTCCCCACTATCTGTTTTTGATCAGTTTCATTGTGTTGTGATTGCAGCTTTTACTGAGTTGGAAAAGATCATTGATGAATAAATATGGAAGCTTTTACCATGCATGGTGGACGTGAACTAAATAAAACAAATTGGAAAGAAATATACGCTTAAATTCAGAGTATTCTGAAAATTCAACTTCTTAGGAATGTTAAGAATATGCTAGTGAGTATTGTGCCAGAAGCAAATACAATGCACACAGACAGGATCTCTCAGAATGACTGCCGTATATCAGCATAAAATCCTGACAAATTTTCCAGAGAGAGGTTTACTAAAAGAATGGTCCTTCTCTTAACATTTTTCACACCAGCACAGATTCCGTGGAGATTACCGTATTTTTCGCTCTATAAGATGTACCTGATCATAAGATGTACCTAGTTTTTAGAGGAGGGATCCATGAAAACCTTCCTGATAATCACAGGCACATTCCCCATAACTTCCCCATGGGCTTCATTAAAAGACGGGTTGCCATTTGAAAACAAACACCGACCTGTGATTAACAGCTCTCACCTGCGCCGGAGGAGGGGGGCGGAGCAGGGCGCGCCAAGCGCATGCCGGCCAGGTGGCGCCACGCGGAGCAGTCGGGCCGGCAGCGTCCCGGGCATCAGGCACACACACATTCGCTCCATAAGACACACAGACATTTCCCCTTACTTTTGAGGGGGGGAAAGTGCGTCTTATAGAGCGAAAAATACGGTAGGTGAATCAAGGAGCACCAAGTAACCCAGCCTCATGGCCTAACTGTGGGGTTCCTGGAAAGCACATGCGAACATCCCAAATGGAAAAATAAACCAGCAGCGCTTCATTAAGAAACAGGCCAGTCAAGACAAGCAGAGTAACTCAGTATATAGGCACTACACAAAAAGGAACGGCACCAAACACAAACACCCAAGGTGTAAGAAACTGTTCTCCAAAATAATTGAGAATTACTATTTAATAAGGAAACTAGGAGCGCCTTTCTTATTAAATGTAACTCCAAATCGTGTATTCCTAACATTGATGGTGTCGGACGGTAGCTTCCAGGAGCTGTTGGAAAGCATCTCCCACCAAGACTAACCAGCAAAGCCAATGTGGAGGGATGATAGGACAGGTAGTCCACCAACAACTGGAGGGCCACACNGGTGCCCCAGCGGGCCGGCGGTACCACACTGCATCCAGGCAGCCCCAGAGTGGCAAGCTGGACAGTCCTGGAGCAGGCATGAAATATTGCCCCTTGGGGTGTCTGTGCCATTACATCGCCACCTCCTTTCTCGTTACAGGAAGGATATAGCCAGGTTAGAGTCAGTGCAGCATAGGGCCACAAGGCTGAATTTCTCTCTCTTCCCCTCTAAGCTAACCAGCTAACCATGAAGCAAGGTATGGACATACCAGCCCCTCTCCTTCAAGCAAGTCACATATGGACCAACTCGATTTTTTGCCTAGAAGTACCAGAGGCCCCTCTTAAGAAAAGGGGCTGGTTTTCCTGTCTTTTTTCTTTTTCTTTTAGAAGGCTCTCTCAGAATGACTGCCCTTTATCAGCATCAAATCCTGACAAAGAGAGGCTTATTAAAAGAATGGTCCTTCTCTTAACATTTTTTACGCCAGCACAGATGCCGCGGAGATTACCATATTTTTCGCTCTATAAGACACACCTGACCATAAGATGCACCTAGTTTTTAGAGGAGGGATCCATGAAAACCTTCCTGATAATCACAGGCACATTCCCCATCACTTCCCCATGGGCTTCATTACAAGACGGGTTGCCATTTGAAAACACACACCGACCTGTGATTAACAGCTCTCACCTGCACCGGAGGGGGTGGCAGAGCAGGGCACGCCCAGCGCATGCCGGCCAGGTGGCGCCACGTGGAGCAGCTGGGCCGGCAGCGTCCCGGGCGTCAGGCACACACACATTCGCTCCATAAGACACACAGACATTTCCCCTTACTTTTGTGGGGGGGGGAGTGCGTCTTATAGAACGAAAAATACGGTAGGTGAATCAAGGAGCACCAAGTAACCCAGCCTCATGGCCTGACTGTGGGGTACCTGGAAAGCACATGCAAACATCCCAAATGGAAAAATAAACCAGCAGCGCTTCATTAAGAAACAGGCCAGTCAAGACAAGCAGAGTAACTCAGTATATATAGGCACTACACCAAAAGGAACTGCACCAAACACAAACACCCAAGGCGTAAGAAACTGCTGTCCAAAATAATTGCGAATTACTATTTAATAAGGAAACTAGCAGCGCCTTTCTTATTAAATGTAACTCCAAATTGCGTATTCCTAAAATTGATGGTGTAGGATGGTAGCTTCCAGGAGCTATTGGAAAGCATCTCCCACCAAGACTAACCAGCAAAGCCAATGGGGAGGGATGATAGGACAGGTAGTCCACCAACAACTGGAGGGCCACACATTCCGTATGACTGCCTTAAATAAATAATCCTTTCAAAATTATCCTGCTACTTGTGGTATGAGAAATGTAAAATCATGGATAATTTCAAAATCACTGTATTAGGAATGCAATGATTTCAGTTTGGGAAAAATTAAAGATAAAACTTTAT